ATTTTTAACTTTATAATGCTATGACATATTGAAAAGTGTATGGATCAACATTATTTTTTTATGAGAAATAATATTTTTTAATAATCCCTTTTTCATTCTACATACTTTATCTTAATTAGGATATTAATAATGAACTAGCAGATAATGTAGCTTTTGGAATAGTCCACCAATTTTTTAAAATTAAACACTATCTAAAGATTTGCATCGAAGCGTTTTTTTTTGATAGTGATTTTAATCACTGTCAGATATCATTATACTTAATCCATCTATACCACGTCACCACTGTGCCGCGACCCCCCTGTGCTGGGTTTTTTAGAATTAAATTAATAGAGATTACTAATCTTAGATATAAAAATAAATTCTCAATATTTTAAGAAGAAAAATCTGTTCAAAATTAATCTACCTGTTTATAATTACCCCACTCATTCTATTTGTTAATATTAAATCATAACGTAATCATTATTTATTATAAATAATCTGAAAAAAAAATGGATTTCAAACGTGTAATGTAAGAACCAGGCAATTTCGGTTAAAATTAATATTAATATTAATATTACTAGTATTGTTATTTCAAAATATTCAATTGATTAAAACTGTGTAAACATTAGAAGTAATGTTATGTTAATTACATTATTTGAAAATATTTTTGTTAAATTAGAATTATGTAAACAATTAACAATTAGCATTTATAAATTACGATTTGTATATATATTTACTAAAATAAGTGTATGCTTTAAATTTTAGATCAGCAATAGAATGAAATTGTATTACTTTTACATTTAGATGTTTATATTAGATTAAAAAATATCATTTTGTAGTGTATTATTTAAATGCTAAATTTAATACATTTTTTATTAAAGAAAAACATAAAAATTTCAACTTACGATTCCTGATACAGTTATTTCGCCAGTAGTAGATAATGGCAAATAGTCTGTCAAGATGCATCCATCTAAAGCAGCGAGTAGATGTGGCACAGGACAAGGAGATTTTATTTCATTCCACCATTTAGGCCCATATGTACCCATAATTAGCCACTGATATTTTCCACCAACCATTCCTACCCTGTGAATGTAATAGATATACTTTGAAATTTTATAGTAAAATTCATTTCATTTCAAACCATTTAATTTTTGAACTAAATATAGAGGGTGATTTTTTTATAGCCACTCAATTTCTCTTAAAATAATAAATATTTTGTGATTTAGTTAGTTACATTTGTATTTCCATTTATCTGTTATAAAATACTATTTATGTCTTAATATCCTTTGTGTCTTATAGGGATGTCCACTTTATTTTTTTAATGGAAACATATATTTAACTAATTTATAAAATAGAATATGATCTAATTAAGAAAATAATTATTCGATAACAAAATTTGGACTAGTATTCAGGAAGTTATAATTATTTTTTTACCTCTGTAGGAGGATGAGTGAGACCAAGATATTTTAAGTGATATAATTAAATATTTGGTTCGAGTTCATTTCGACGCCAAAAATCAGTATTTATAACATCACTAGTTATAAGTGTATAATTATCATATGCAAGATAAAAATCACTCACCTGTATGCTTCACAAAAAATTTTCTTAGCCCAAGTCTCGTTAAAATTACCCAAAATAATTCGGATGTCTTTTTCGCGGAGCTTTTGAATAGGCAGTGATACGTCACCTGCAATATTTTGAGTATCCAGCACAACAAAGTTGTCTTTTTCTAGCATAGCTACCAACTGGTTGTGAGCCTATGTAAAAAATTAAAAAAAAAAAACGATTTATTTAGTTAAGTTAATTTTTATTTTAAAGTAATAGTATTTAAATATATATTTGAATCAATAATAATCATTGTTCCCAAATAATAATTACTAAATATAGTTGTTTTTCAAAATTAAAAGAAAAATTAAGCAATCTATGTTGTGATAAAAAAATGAACACCTAGATTTATTTATGTTATAAATTTCTTTTGAGATTAACTTTAACTTTTATTACGAATATTTCAGTCGAAAATAGAGGAAAATTATACATTTATTAGTTCAAATACATAACAGAGTACTTCTATGTGCAATACGTTACGAGAAAGTTATTAAAATTCTAATGATTTTCAAAAAAAAAGAAAATATCGTTCCAATGCGTCACAGCTGTAGTAATGTTTCTTAGCAAAGCATTATTGGTTATTTCAATTTTTATTTATATAGATACTCTAGAGGGAAAAAATAAATGTAATTTTTCTTTCTAACATGAGAAAAATTTCAAACTTGCTAATGTTTTTAAAGTTCATATTATATTTATACAACAACAACTATAATGTGTAATTTTAATAAATTCATTGAAAATTCAATAAACTGAATTAAAATACAAAATTAAATATATATATTTTTAATTTTATAGAGCGAGAACGTTTAAGTGATGCTGTAGTTGGAAACAAATCCTTGAACTATCATTTGAAATGTCAAATTGAGCTGTGTTGTCTGAATAAGTTTCATGGATTGTTTTTTCGGTTATTAGAAAATCAGAAATATAAAAATATATAAGAAGGGTGCAAAAAAAACCAAAAAAATAGTTTGTCAGTATTTATGACAAGTTAGTAAAATTTTTACTATTTACTATTCTATATTGTACTTAGTATTATTTTTATACTCTATAAGATAATTATATTTAAAACAATTTTCAACAAAATGATAATTTTATTAAAAGTTATAAGCGTTGCCAGTGAAGTCTGGAAAATGTGTATATGTAAATTAGTAGCAAACAATGTATGGAACATACATTCGATAGAAAAACGCGTTTGGCCCCAAAACTTCACTTCCCTCAGATATAATAAGATTTCTTATATATTTATTTATTATAAATTTGAGTTTGGTGTGGCGTAGTGGACCACTTGGTTTCTGCCATAATACTGATATTCAGCTACGCTATTGCTGTTGGTTTTCGGATGGGTGACCGTACGGAACTTAAATAATTATCTAAACCGTGTTTCCTACTCTTAGCAGATGTATGGCGACGCTTGTATTCTTGAATACATGTCCATCATCGAACGCCATATCTTAGAATGCGACATATAATGGTTTCCATAGGACTAACTAAAGATCCATACGATAAAAAAAAATGTTGATTTATTACAATTAAATTAATATTTGGTTTCTCACATTTAAAATAGATGATAAATTGTAAATATTAATATTTAAATATTATTGAAAGAAATAAAAAATGATAAGTTAGAGTAATGAGATAATTCTAACTATTAGATAAATTTTAAAGTATAAAGATATAGAGTTGATGGGAATACAATTTACCTTAAACTAGTTTTACTTTATTTTTTAACAAATTTTGCTAAAACTAATTTGTTAATACTCGTTATTTTTCACTATAAATTTGATTTAAACTTGTATCCTCTACTGAGATTGTGACATTATTTTTTTAAACAACTCATTACAGATTTTATCAACTATTTTAACGTAGAAAACTAGTGCAATGTTTAAGTGATTATGACTAAAATACACTGACTAAGAATACCATTCTAGAATATACATAAATTAAGAAAATCCTATTTTGGAAGGCGGATAATCTTAATCGAGACGTTTAAACTAAAGTAATTACAATATACAAATTTTAATCAGTTTTAAGTAAACACATAATATAATGTATAATAGAAATACACACGTATTAAACTTTAATAGAGAATATGAGTGTAAATAATTGAACTTTGTGGTGAAATAATAAAATATTATCCATAGAAAATAAGTCTAAGATTTTGCAAATATATTGGGAATAATGTGAAAAATATCGCTCATACATATTAAAGTTCCAAAACAAAAAACAGCCAAAATTAATTTTCAAAATAAAATAAACCAGTATGATAAGATTTAAAGGTCTGATTGATAATTCTTCAATTTATAGAGTTTTTTTTTAATACATTGGAGCTAAATTTTTCAGTAAGATTGTTCGGTCGTGCGAAGCAGGTTGGTGCAGTGAGCGCCAATTTTCTTTTCCACGTCAAGAGGGCGACCTGGCCAACTGGTTTTTGCTGTTAGGGTAGTGTGTGTCGGTGGTCACTAAGGCGCCATTCGTGTACCGGTATGCTTAGAGTACTTGTGTGTAATGTCACTCGGTGTATTGTTTTATTCATCTTGCCGGCTTGCTTTTTGATGTCTTTCTTATGTGTTCAATTCACATTGTGTGATTGCGTCGGGCCAAACTGCATTAATTGACACATTGACACTCTTCAGTTTGGTACGGAAAGCCAGGTCAGACTATACATTTTCTGTTAGTCTAAATATTAATTGCTAAGAATTTATGTTGTTGTATCTTAGTATATTAGTTGAAATATAAGTACTAACAACAGATTTAAGATAAATCATTGTAGCTATCATATTGGATGACATATAACGGAGAAATAAAAATTACAGTTCACTAAACGTTATATTTTTTATTTTATTTAAAGGAACCTTTAGAGGCGCGATTTAACTCGGCGATTGGTCGTCCGAGTATCTCGCGTCGCACAAAGATGTTTGTATTAATATTTTTATCTCTAGCTTAAGTTGTTTTACTTTTAAAAGTGCTTTAATCATATAATATATATTTTAATTGTAAATTAATCAGTCACTATAAATAATAGCCCACATAATAAAATAAAAAAATTATGTTAATTTTAATTGAAAGTGCATAAAATTATAGTTATTATTATTTAGCCGTTTTTGTATCTAATTCTTTTATGGTTCACGAAACTTTAAATGCTACTATAAAGTTAAACTTCTTGTGATACCAAATAAAGAATATGTTTGTATTTTTTTTTGGATACGTTCAAAAATTAAAATTGATTAAATTTTGAGTAAGAAGATGTGTTTATTTTTTCAATATTTAGTTTTATGATTAACATTTATACTCTTATGAAAAAACTAAAATTATGCCGATTTTAAGATAGAGAAAAAAATGATTATCAAACTTCAATTTTTTTTTTATTATTAAATTAAATTGAAGAATACATATTTGAATCATAGCAATTTTTATATCAAAGGCACAGTATAAAAGTCCTAGCATGGAATCATATTATTGAATATTTAAAAGTTAATATTACATAAAACTTAATGGCGATATAAATTTTCAAATAATCTCTTATTTTGAATTGATTATTTTTGGGTAATGTTATTTAAAATTAATAAATATTAAAAATCTTTAACTCAAAGTTATTTTATATTTTTTAATAATTAAAAATTTTTTATAGACAAAACAAATTTCGAAGACAATTGTGATACATAATTTTACATCATTGTTCACGTGCTTATAACGTTCCGTTTAAAAGTCATTCATTTTTCCTTGGTAATTTTTGGTTATTAGATTTTTTTTTTGTCCAAAAGAGAAATGAAAAACATTTATATCCTTTTTAGGTTTCATTGAGTTAAGCGTATAAATCTCATTTAAAAAATTTCAAAAGTGTTATTTTAAAATAAAGTATTAATATTCCTTAGTATTATTAGTACTATTACATAGGTATAAGAGAAAGTTTCACCACATTGATGATTGCAATACTAACAAGTATTTTACATCTTGACTAAAAAATAGTCATTTGTTTACCTGTTATTGCTCATATGTGCTATTAATAGTTTTTTTATTCGGAATTATTTATTAGTGTCAATTTAAAATTAAAAAAATGATTAAACTATATAAAGTATTAGAGTAGTTAAATATTTTCAAAAAAGTTGTGATATTAAGTTTTCTATCCAACATTTTTAAATAAATAATTTACAATATTAAAATTTGCTTTGATCTAGAAAATTTAATCATCGAGTTTATTTCACGAGTTAATTGTCAATCCTTTTTGAGTTTAATAGAAATATCAAACGATAATTTAAATTACTAAATGCTTGGTTAGAATACTTATTAAAATGACAACTTATGAAATTAGTAAATCATTAACCTATAAATCAACTCGTAAACATATTTTATTAATTTAAACTAATAACATTTAGATTGAAAAATAAAAATTGAATTCGAAAAATGTGAAGTAACCGACAAATAAGAACTTTGACAAAAAATACATTAAAATCAAGTACATGTTATTATTTTATACATTAATTAAGTTTTCATTAATTCATTAATTAATCCTGATTCATATTTTTTAATCTTGTGTTATTAAAATTATAAAATGTAACAGCAATTCATATTTATTAATAAATTTATGACTGAGAAAATAATAAGTTGTTATTAACATGCCTTAAACTTTTCTTGCCGTTTTCTTAAATTTTCGTAAAGAAATTTAATATTGTTTTTTCACAAAACATAATAACTGTCCGTTTTAATTTGTTGTATAAAGTTTTACTCATTTTACAACTGATAGTCAATCATTTAAATTAATACACTCCTGGATATAAACAAAAAAAGAACTAAATAAGAAACAAAAAAAATTAAAATTAAAAATACTTGAAACCCAACCATAAACAAACCTAAATAAAAATTATAAAATAATTTATATCTAAAATAAGTTAACTTAAAATAATTAACTGAAGCTCAATAATTATTGATTTGAATATAAGTTGAATTTATAGCATATTCCTAAATGTAATATTTTTCATATTTTTGATACAAAGATACAAGATACTAGTTCTTAACAAAAGTTGAAAGCTAACAATAAATAAGTAATATTGATTCAAAATCTTTTACTTTGGCATTTGATTATATTGTTTATTAATTTATATTTATATTAGCTATTTTTTAACAGATAACTATTTTATTATTGTACCTTGCGATAGCCACAATATATAATAAAAGGTTAAAAATGTTAACTTTTAATCGGTCTATATAATAATTGTACGCAAAAGTGTTTTCATCTAAAATACATTGTTTCAAATTTTACTGATCGAAAATAATTGAAATTATATTATTACTACTACTTAATTTACTTGAGAGTATTTAAAAAAAAAAGTAATATTTTTGGAAGAACTTGTGTTATAATTCCTTTTGATGTTATTTTTAAGGGATATAAATTAATGCTTATTAATGCTCATTTAAATTTTCAATTTTGTATATATTTTAGCTACATGATTTATATATTTTAAAAAGTTTTTAATTTAAATAATTTATGTTTTAAGTTTCAATATTTTTCATTATTAGTTTTTGGTCACCCATAACCCGGAACTGTATTAATAGCACAAATTAAAAATTTGTAGTTTTTACACTTACCAAAGCGTATCGAGGTTCGTTTTGATATATGGTACCGACCTTTGTCCAGTTGAAATGCCTTAGTAATGCAAGCCGTGGAGCATTGAAAGCGTTTTCGCTGGGAACGACTCGAAAAAAATTTGGAAAATCCGTATTTGTAAACATTGGATGAGTGTCTGCATAAGATAACTGTAATTTAGAAATAAATTGTATTATTTATTATACATACACATAAAAACTTATTACTTTAAATTCAGCAAACCTATTTAGTACATTTATTTAATATCAGTTCATTGAGCTGAAACATTTTTTGTCTGTGTATTATAAATAAATTGTATACTTATTCGATTTATACTAAGCTAATAACCATGTAATTTAAACTGTAATTCATAATTTAAAAATATTAAAACTATCATAGGCACATCTCCATATAGATAATCCATAGAAATAAACTAATTGAACTTAAGTTAATCCCGTAGTCCGATTGTTTAATATATTACGCAATGTTATAAATTAAAAAAACAGATTACAAATATATTATATATGTGCATAATAAATGATTTATATTTGAAATTATTATCGATAAAAATATGAAGATATTTAACACAGTTTACTTTTTACATGCAGACATGTAAAAATATTGTTAATCTTTGAGCATTTAATATGTACAAAAATCTTTTTTTTTTTTTTATTAGAAATAAACAATCTGTACAATGAGCACAATAAGCATATATGATAAGAGTAGAAAAATTTACATGAATACATTTTGATGGAAGAAACCACTTATTAGTGACACTTCCCAAATCTTAAAATTTAAATAGTTAATAATCATGTTAATGCTCAAAACAATCATTTTTTATTTACTAGGCTTTAATATTGAACTATTGTTATTAAGCTAGTTGTTTATTACAATCATATTTTTGTTAGCTAAAATTTCTAAAGCCTTAAAGGTTTTTTTTTTTCATAACTGTGTCATCGGCATAACAATATAATTCTAAGGTCAGTTGAATATTTAATTAAATCTTCAATTTCTACTAATGGACTCTCAAAAGTTCATTAATAAAAATAATATAAAGTAAATAGATAATAATACGATATTATGTATATTAATACAAACAAAAGATGAAACTGTTAGTCAAATTTGACTATCTAATATTATTGTATATCGAATAAAAAATAACACTAAAACAGCCAATACAATTAATAAATTGCCATTTAGGCTTAAACTGAGTTTTTTTTTTTTAATTTCGCCAATTATTCAATAACAAGGATAATCTTTTACAAAAACAATTTGTTATTAATACATGCATGAATATTGTTTTAATTAATACAATAAATACTGTTACATAATTTAAGTTTTATAACAGTTATCGTACTAGAATTGATATTTAAAAAATTGTTTTAAATTTTATTAAATGGACAAACTTAAAAAAATTAAATATCGAATTTTAGTACTTAACATGTTGTTAATTAATACATGAAAATTGGCTATAGCAAGGCAACTTCAATTTTTTTTGTAAATAAAATTCATATTTTAAAATCATAAATTTAAAATAAAAATCGTAAACTAAAGCACAGTATTTATAAAATTCTTTAAATTCATTTTAACTGATATTTTTAAAAAAAGTTCTATTGAATAAAAATAACTTACGTATACTACAAAAACACTTTTAATGAACAATTGAGTAAAATAAAACGCTTACCTGTGTTATCCTCCAATGTTTGGAAGCTTTGGCAATTGGATCTGTCACCTGAGTACAAGCTGCTCCAAACAACATTACTTTGTGTGGACCCTCGTGCATCATGTCGAAAAATGCTTTCAAACCCACCGCAGCATTGCACTATAAATATAAAAAAAAAAAAATAAGATTTTACTTTTAAGTAAAATAAGAAAATGCAATTTAAATAATTTTAATTTACTTATGTTTACTAAAAATAATGTAAATATACATTTCGGTATCCTTTAAAAAAAAAATAATATGAACATACATATGTTTCTTCCTAACGTAATTCTTTTATTTTTGTATTATTAAATTATCCAAACAGCCAGTCTGACAAACAAATAGATAATATTTAAGCTTGACAAAAGTACTCGTAAAAGCCTTTATACAAATTATAAGCTTTTATAAACAATACCACATATATATTTATTTAAACAGAGAAACGGGAAAATGTAAAATATAACTGTTATTTAAAAATAAATAAAAATATTGCAAAAACGTTAAATTTTATTATAATTATAAGAAATTGGTGAATTATTCTAAAAGCAACATTAACTCCTATTATATTAATTATATACCGATTAGTAGTTCTTTGATATAAAGATGTAATTTATGAATAAATATTTATTATAGCTATTAAATATAATATGAAATTCATATTTAATAATTTAATATTGCGAATTTTACTGAAAAATTATAAAGTAGTTGCATATTTCTTTATTTCTATAGCAAACGACTGTAAAAATTGAAGAACATGATGCAAGAATTCCAGGAAATAATTTTAAATAATTTTATCTAAATAAAAATCTTATCAGAGACAAAAGTATATATTTTCTATGCTAATTTTTACGCCGACTTCAAATCTGCAATTAGATTTTGTTTTTCACCTCTAATATTTGTGATTATTACTAATTAGTAAAAAAATTAATATTTACATATAAAAATAAAAATTAAAGATTTATTTATTAAAAAATTAATAAAATAATAAAAATGTTGTTTGGTAAAAAAATGTGACATATATTTTTCTTTTTCAATAAGATATTTTCAATCAATTTTTCGGTATGATAAAAATTTGACGTAATTTTACATTGTAACATTATTTAAAATTTATTATTGTAATAAAATAATATCACATTCATTGTAATATCATTTTAATTATTTTGTTTTACTGTTTATTACAAAAAATTATAACTTAATTATTAATTAAAATACTAAACTAATAACTATTATAAATAAAAAAAAAAAACATTATTTTATATTATAATATTTGTAATTGAATAATATTTTTTCAATTCTGTTATACGAAATTATTAAATTTTACAGTTCATTCAGTACAATTATTTTTCCTATTACGTCTCAATTCAATTTTTTTATTTTCAAACTACCTTATGCGACGTGCAGATATTTCTAAATGAAATGGACCCTTCTTCTTATTTTTATGAATAATATCTCCAAAAAGAAACTTCATTACTACTATCTTCACTTACCAAACCGTTGGTTACTTCATTCGTAACATTCCATTAATTTTTAATGATGCCTTCAGATACCTCACGCAAATAATCATGGACTTAGTATTGTGTCTGACAGCATCTCTTTCAAAACACTCTCTTTTCAGCTACTTGGAGGACGCTATAGTTCTTACAATATCTTTTGCATTTATTGGCTACTTGATTACATACTTCGACGTTTTTCGTAACAACTTCATTGTTTTATGTGAAAATATTATTAAAAATCTTCTTTAAGCACTTACATACTTGTATATACTTTTAATTTAATTTAGTAACAAAACACTACATTTAGCAATGTTTAAAACTTTTTGACTAAAATTAATTTGATGATATATAAATTAATAGTAACTAGTTAAATTGTTGCTGGACAGCATAATTAATGAACTAATATATTTATAAATAATTATTTTAAAAGATATTTGTAATTTTAACTACTTGTTTTTATATAAAAAAATTTATAGAAAAGGGCATAACAATTATTATTCACTTCTCATTTAATTTATTTTAGTTATATTCTTCAAATTTAGTAGAAATTACGGACTCCGTTTATTTTTTGTATGTGTATTTTGCATAAATCATCAAACTATTCTGAGGGCATAGTCAATAAACGTAACATATAACATAGTGAACTAATACGTCCTAATATATATCATTAAAAAGAATATTCATAAAAGTGTGAGATCAGTGGAATAAACTTTAAAATAACTACGAATTAATTTTTTTTTTTTTTAATTTAAGTATATTACATAAACTTTAATTTAAGATATATATAAAAGTGTCAGAAGAGAGTATACAAAAACAGAAATAACACAGGAGGAGAATCAAAGATCCGTGATCGGTGGTGGAAATTGAAAAGGGAAAAGTTTTAAAGACAGTAAAAGAGAAGATGATGTAGAATATAAATGAAGACATAAATGATGTATGGAATAGATTTGTTAGTTGTGTGAAGAATAACGCAAAGGAGAGTGTTCATGAAAGTAAGAATAAAATGCTGGGAAACAAGAAAACAAGATAGAAGGATGAGGACGTTCAAAAAATCATAGAAAGTAAGAAAAAGAAGTTCTAAGTATGGCCAATGAGTAGAAGGAGAAAAGATTGGATGAAGTATAAACGCTTGTTTAAAGAAGCCAAGTGTGCAGTAGGTAAGGCGAAGTTTAAGAGAAACGATAAGTTGTATGATAGGCTAGGAATAAGAAAGGTAAAAAATAATGTTATAGACTTGGAAAAGTAAGATAAAAATAATATATAGATTATCAAAATGTAAGATGTATAAAAAGTAATGATAAGAGGATGCTAATGAGTAATGATGATGTGAATAAAAATCAAAAAGAGTATTTTGAAATATAACTGAATGATAAGTATCCAAGAGTATCAACTACGCTCATAGAGGACAGCTGATGTGAGCGTAGATGATGTGAGAGATCGTGTCAAGTAAAAGTTTAGGATAATGGTGGCCGTCCCCAAGTAGTTGGGTTTAAGGCGAGGAAGAAGAAGAAGTATCCAAGAGGGATATTAGAGGATACCTAGAAAAAATGACTGAGGAATAAATAGGAATAAGACAGAGTTTATAATAGTATAATAATAGAGGACTTAATAGGAGAGGTGGAAGGTTTTGAGTATTTAGGATCAGATGTGCAAAAGAGCGGAGGTATTGACGAGGATGTAAGACATAGGATTAAGTGATAGTGATTAAAGTAAAAAGAAGCGTCTGGTATGTTATGCAATAAAACAATTCCAATGAGGCTGAAAGTTAAATTCTATAAGACTGTAGTGAGACCAGCTATGATGTATGGTTCATAGTGTTGGGCGGTTGATAAGAAAGTAGAGCAGAGAATGAGTGTAGCAGAAACAAGAATGCTTAGATGGCTTAGTGGAGTGATTAGAGAAGATACGATAAGGAACGAGCATACAAGAGGGAGTATAAGTGTAGTCTCAATCGTAGATAAGATGAGTGAAAATAGACTTAGATGGTTTGGTCAAATTATGAGTAGAGAGGAATCGGAAGCTGTTAGAACAGTTATAGAAATGAATGTTGAAGGAAGAAGAGGTAGAGGAAGACCAATAAAGAGGGATGTAATTCAATACGGTATGAGAACGGTTGATGTAGGAGATCGTGTCAAGTAGAAGTTTAGAATAAGGTAGGCCGACCCCAAGAAGTTGGAATAAAGGCGAGGAAAAAGAAGAAAAAGATATAAAAGTGTCAGAATTTCAAAAAATATATTTATACCAAATGATATGTCAATACCTAAGGTATCTATAAAATAAAAGTTGTTTTAATTTAGTCATTTTTCAAAAAAAATATCAGTTTTAAGTAAAAATTACGTAAAAAAGATAACTGAAAAAAAGTGGTGACAGACATAAAAAGAATATATCATAGTAAAATTAATACCCTTTCAGCTTTGCATTAAAGTTAAAATATTTATATTAACATTGCTATAAATATAAATGTGTAAATAAAAGGGTTATTATACTAAATTCTAATTTAATATATTCTTAAAATAATTCTATAGAATTAATTTAATCGCATTAATACAATTATAAAATATATTAGCTATTCAAAGAGAATCGTTTAAAATTTTAAATTATACTTGTAAGCTTAATCAATTAACAAGAAAAGAACAATAAATAAAAGTATACTTTAATTTAATTATTTCTGAAAATAATTTGGTTACTTTAAGACATAATTAAATTAATTTACGATTTACTTAGATATCTAAAAAATATTAATCTCGATTACCTATTTGAAATTAAGTTATCAGGAGATAAATTAAATTCAATGAAAATTATGAGGCCGTTTTCATTTTGTAGATTCATCTAACAAAATAACATTTGTTAATAAATTATCAGAATAACTGTATAAAAAAGATTTCTTCTTTTACGGCAATTCATTTAATAATGTTGTATTATAAAATGTAATAGATAAATTACCCTGATTCTATGCCACAGTTTGTTCTTCATTGTATAATAAATTATTCAGAATAACTTGCTTTCCATATAGAAAATACTAATTTCATTTTAAATCAAATAAAATTATTTGATCTTATAGTTAAAAGGAAAAAAATGTTCTATATATTGAGTATATTAATGCATAATACTTTTTTTTTATATAACTAGACAGGCTTTATGCAAGACTGAAATTTCCATTGTTTTATATTTTTTTATATGTAATCATTGTCTAGTTGTTGGCAAATAAAAATAGAAAAAGAAAATATACAAACACTACTATTTCCTTTTCAAAAATATTTAAACAAAATGATTAATGCTGTAGGTCCTTATTACATTAGAATAAAATAAATGAATGAATTTAAAAATTGTTGTATAAGTCACTAAAATTTATTAAAATAACATTTAGTATTATTATTCTGTTTTTCTGTAAATGTAGAATCTTTTAGCTTTTTCGCAAAGTTGAAAAGGTATTAATTTTACTATAACATGTATTTATTATTCTTTTTTTAACTATCAACATATTATTTATATAATAATTTTACTACTTAAAACAACAGTAATATGTTTACTGTACAACAGTTCTAATATGACAAATTTTTTTTATCATATAAGCCGTATAAATCTGAGAAGGTAATAATTTTCTGATGATCTGTGTATTATTTATGA